CCCCAGTGACAGCCCTTCAGTGTACCTGGGCGTCTGTGTAAGGGGGCACAAAGATGGGAGGGAGGTAGAGCCAGCTGCTACCCGATCCCACTGGAGCAGAATAGGAAGTCCCACACACCTGCCCACTGTGGGTGACGTCGTATTCGGACAGAATAGGGCAGAAGGGGTACTGTCCCCACTGAGGCTGGGGTGGGGGGAGATGCTGAGGGGAAGACCTGCTGACCACATCTCACTTCTCAGGTCCCAGAGGTGAGGAAGAAGTTCGCCCCCAACCCCTCAGCCATCTTTCAGGCTCCAGCGCCTCGGATTCTCAATGTGTGACTGGCTGTGCCTTGGAGGACAACAGCGGTGGCCTTCTTCAGGCCCTCAGAGCACTGAGGCGACCGTGGTGCAGGCCTCACATCGGCACAAGGAGAGACCAGGCCCACTGCTGGGTCTCAGGGCTGCCCTGGCTGCGGCGGCGGGGCTCACTGAGGAGGGGCTGGACCCTCGCTTAACTCTGAGCCCCAGCCACTCTCCTCTCAAGGTTTTGTGGAAGGCTGCCTATCTCTTTAATAACCCCTTTTGGCCATCCTTCAGTCTTTAAAACCTGATGAACATGGTGCCAACCTCGCAGTACTTGAAGGTCAATACTGTCATGAATTGGCCCATGAGGGCTGAGGAACCCAGACTCCAAGTCCTTGACAGACCTGCAACACGCACTTTTACTTGTTTTCCCAGGATGCATGATGATTTTACTCATTATAACCTGCGGTAACACAAAGTGTTGTCTTCAGATATTCCCACAAGCGACTCCACACTTTACAGGAACCTCGGGGGTCATCTCCTGCACATCCTCAGCGATCCTGAGCAACCACAAAGGGGTGTCCAAAGAAACTGCCTTTCACGGAGATTCAAAGACATTACATTGTATGGCCAACATGACCCTTGTCTTAACAAAACGTTTCTTGGATCAAGTGCTTGATGCGCAAAAGGAATGAATGACACCTTGTGGAGAGTTTCTAATCAGTCCCCACATTTTACTAATTTGTTTCCCCTCTATCACACTGGTGTTTTGAGAGCAGAGTACTGCACACACCTAGTACTGTTGTGATTTTAATTTCTGGGAAGGGGCATTCCTCCCTCGGTCCTGGAAGACCTGCAGTATTGCCTGGCCAGCCTCGGCCCCACGCTCACTGCTCTGGGGGAGCCCACCACCTCCCGAGGGGCCTGCTCGGAGGACACAGGGTCACAGAACATGTTTGATTTACGTCCTGTCCAGATTAGAAACCAAAGCTTAGGTGTTTTGGGTGAAGGACACAGATTTTCTTCTGGGTCATTGCCCCCTTCTGGCCCATGACTGGAGGGGGTGCTGTGCAGGGCTGCCCCTCGGAGGAGCCAGCTCTGACAGGCACGGCCCGGCCTCCCTCCAGCAGAGATGCCCTCGTGAGACCCAGCCTACAGGGGGAACCAAGCCCACACAAAAGATCCCATTATTTCGGACTTGACTGGTGTGCATGTTAGTGTTTCTGAGCCTGCCTGCTGGGCACTTCATGGGAAATGAGCAGATGAACTGAACAATCTCAGATTGTACTAAAAGGCAAAAATGTACTGTTTCAATTTCTTGTTTGTTTATTGCTATAATTAATCATAAACATGACCGCTTTCTCATACTTGTATCTTGGTAACAAGGGCTTTTCTGTTCCGTGGTTACGGCTGGTCTCCCAGGGCCCCGTGAGTCCTGAGCAACTTCTAACTTTGGGGCTGCACTGGTACCACGTGCCGTGTTTCAGGGTCCACTATTCACATCTGCCCCTTCTCTCCAGCCCTTACCCAGGGCCCTAGGCAGTAGCCTTTGAAGCTCACGCCCTGGCTTCTGCACTAAGGAACCTCAGCTTCAGCACCTCAGCAGTGAAGTGGGGTGCTATCAGGGGTCCTGCTGGCTTGTAGAGGGAATGAGTGTTCTGTGTGGGGTGGTGCTCAACACGCACCAGCCCCTCTCACCCAAAAGCCAGGTCCATTTCCACCCAATACCCCTTACCCAGCTACAGCGTGTACCCTAGAAGGCCCGGAACCCTTCACCACATCCACCTGTGCCCCTGCGTGGTCCACAGCCCCTTCTCTCCTCAGACCTGGTGGAACGCACACACAGGCTCTAAGGTCCGGCCATCCTCCAGGCAGGCAGTGCTGCGCTTGCAGCCTGACCTCTGAAAGCACCTTGTCATGAACGTGCCACTCGCACCCCCCTCCGTAGCCTCCCTTCCTAGGCTTTATTAACAGCATCTGTGTCCTCAAACAGCAGCTCCCACGCTTTCTAGGTGTGCTGAGCCCTGACAAACCTGCAAAGCCTCACGGAGTCCACTGGTCACAGCAGAGCGCTGTGCTTCAGAGCTGGCCCGAGGGCAGGGGCAGGCTGAGGCGGGACACTTGCCAATGGGTATATTGGAAAGAAGCATGTGTGTTATTAACTTGATAAAATAGAAACAAGCTTAAAAATAAAAGCAGTTCTGGTAGCTAATTTCTGCCAAACTGTTCGACACTGTTCTACAACTACAGTAGCCAACACAACAGGTTCAGCAGGTGTAATCCTCTCAGGCAACTCATTTACCAGAGACCACCCTGTACACAGGCCCCAGTGGACGGGACACAATGACTAGAAGCTGTCCCATCGACAGTCCTGTGGGCTGGCCGGGCTGACTTGGGGCTGGGGGCAAAAATTCCAAAAAGCAGCTGAGGAGAGCCTGGCCTTGCTGGGTGGGGGCCTGTCCCCCTGCAGGAGGAGGGACGCCCCCTTTCTCAGGGTCAACAAGACACCAGCACCATCCCCTCCTGAGGCTCTGCGGGTGCCACGACCCCGCACGTCTGCGCTGGAGCTCCTGACTGACACGGCTGTACTTTCAGGAGGTCAAGTCCAAGAGCACCCCAATCCTCAGTCCTCCCCAAGAACTATTCTTGGGGTGCTAGATAAAGCCCTCCCGCAGGGATTCTCACTTCTGTTCCTTTCAATCATGTCAAGAGTTGGTACAAAACTTGGCTATGGGAAAAAAACAACAAAAACAAAAACCTGGCTATGTTTCTGAAAATTTTCTGTAATTTCTTCCATTTTTTTATCCATTACAGTACAAGATGGTCATAGCCTAAGGACTTTTAGGAGAAACTCCTTTTAGAACTTTACCAATTTTAACAAGACCGATTTTATCTTGCCAGATAGACCGGTGTGTGTTTTGACAGCAGGCGCTGTTTACCCCTTTGCCTGGACTTGGAGGACACCATGAACTCAAGTATGCAGCTTTCTCGAGCTCTATGCTGTCAGAATTAGTAATTTCCAGAGTCAGTATGCACCTTCCATTTACAGACTTTTATGTAACTACTATCTTGGCTTTTTGAGTGGTTGCAAATTATTTTTGCAAAGGAGTGAATTTAAACACCAATGAATACTTCTTATTCCCACCAATCTCAGCTCTAACAGAACCCAAGAAGAACCCTACCTTAATAAGAGTATTTTAAACTCAGAAAAACCTATCATAAATACAAAAAAGATTTATTGTGGATATTTTTTGTTACACAATTATGATATACATTATGAGACAGTATACTGAAGTCATTAACACACATGGAAATCATTTAATAATTTTTTTTAAAAAATACCTTCTTCAGGCCATTACACTTGTAATAAACGAGTCTGTTATTTGGCTAAAATCTTCCAACCTGCAGATCAGTCACAGTCCATTTGCTGACTCTTCACACCTGCCTATCTTGTTTGAAGTAGTTCATATATAAAATATTCAAGTCTTTATGCCCTAAACAACTTATTCTTAGGTCAGGGCGTGCCTTACTCTCTACTGATGACATTCCTGCATTTGCTGAGTAACCAGTTATCTCACCTGCCTACCTCCCTTGTTTTCTAGACTCCAAGAGCCAACTCATAAAAACCTGGTTACGTTTTTTGGACAATCTCTTGGATTCTGTTTCACACATTTCAATTTCTCTTCAAGAATATTAAGAGCAGATTTTCCTTTGAAAGGAAAGTCTTGTCTCTCCTACCCACACAGACCACACCAGGGCGGCCGGGAGGGCACCTCCCTGGATGCCATGCAGGGCTGCGGACACCCTGACCTCACTGCTTCTGAGTGCTGACACCCCATCTCCTGGCTTGGCCATTACCTCTCTTCCATTAAGGCACTCACAGGTGTTTCCTTTTAAACACTCTTCCTCATAGGGAAGGTTCCTTCGGCAGCAGAGGACAGGATGCTGACTCCATGACAACGCAGCAGCGCCTGTCCCAGGCCTGGTCCACACACACAGGTCATGCAGCCCCACGTACGGGGTGTGAGCCAGCTGTCAATGCAGCACACACACACTCCCCAAGTGTGCAACCCTTCCGCCAGGTGCTGGGGCCGGCACACGCTCTCTATTACCCACAAAGGAAGAGTGTCCTGGGCTATGTCATTAGCCCTTCTTCTCACCTAGAGATTGTCTGTAGTGACACTCCTGTGCTCCACAGAAAGAGAATTCGGGTCAGTGTGCGGCCTGCCCACCACACGTCTTCAGACAGTGGACTGGGGGCAGAGCACGCGTGCCCTCCACCCCAGGGCCAGCCAGGATCCAGGAACCACTGTCGAGTGAAGCCTCCTCACCTGTCCTCAGGCGGGACTGGAGTAACTGTGGCAGCTTTCTGTCACCCCTACACCATACAGAACAGGTGCACTGCGTGTCACACCCCCAGGAGGACACCTAGTGAGGAAGAACCTGACACACAGCCTGGCCCAGGGAGCCTCTTCACCAAGTACACTGACCGAGCACGGGTCCACTCACTTTTTCCTATCATCAGGACACAAGCTCCTGTCCAGGGAGATTTCATCCAGGAAGCACTCTGGCGTACACTGGGTCAGGTGGAAGCGATGGTGTGGCAGCTATGGTGCAGAGGCACACGGAACAGCCTTCTTCCCACAGAAGAATCACCACAGTTCACGGTTCGGATCGGCGGCAGCGCCTACTCTGCTCGGGTATCTCCATTCTGTTCACTGATCCTCATTCAAGATCCCCATATGCTTGTTTGTGAGGAAGTCCAGGCAAGGATTGTTGCAAATGGCCTGATGAATATTACTCACTGTAATTTCTTTGGGAATCCTGGTTCAAAAATTAGAGTGTTTATCAGACACACCTGGTTCAAAAATTAGAGTGTTTATCAGACACAACTCTATCAAGCACCCACTGATTTAATGAATTTACCAAATGAACTATCACTTAACCAGGCCCTACTGGAAGAGTCAACAATTAATGAAGATAGGGCAAGGCTCAGGGTCACAGAAGGAGTGGGGCGGCCAAGTGGGTTCTCTTTCCTCCACTTTCTAAGCTGGTGAAAATCTGGCCTATTGTCAGTCAGTGCAGTTCTGTCTGTACAAGAGGAGTTCAAGAAGTTAGGGAGACTGAGGACTGAGAAAAAAGGTGGAGAGAACAGCATGGTACTTTTTGTAATTTGGTATCAGCAGCCGGGAAGCTGAGTCACATCACCACAGTCCTTTGTGGCCGTATTTCATGGCTTAGGAAAAAAGGGGAGGAAGTTGGGACTCGAGGTAGTTATTCTTGGGTTGCAGCTTTACCAGAACCTTTCCCCAACGTCTCTGTGTCTCCCTTGACGACCTCTTCTACTGTGCCTGGTGTATTATATTCCAGTGAAATCTGACCTCATGTTCCTCTGATGCAGGCCTCTATTGTTTGGCACCCTGGTACCATTTTATAAATTTATGATGGCTCTATCAGATGGGAATAAAAGAATGTGTTTTCTTTGAAAGAAACACCGGGATATGGGGTGGGGGTGGTGAGGGGGGTTTAGGAGGTGGGAAAGCCTAGGAAAAGAGCAAAATCCAGTGTCTAAAACAATTAGGGATCAACAAAGTGGAAAGCTATGGGCTTTAGAGCCAAAGAGACCTGGAGGTAAATCTAAGGTCTACAGGGTATTTGCTGGTGAAACCAGGCAAAATGATCTTCCATACCTTGGTTTTCGTATTTCTAAAATGGCAGTGATAGTTTCTTTAGTAATGAGAAATAAATAAGGTAATTCAGAAAAATTTGTGGAAATTGGGACCTTTAAAGGCAGCAATCTTTAGTATTTCTGTCCCCTCCCCTTGTTGTGTACCACTGAGTCGGTTCTGACTACCACAGGAGATTACCCCTCCTTCTCCAGCAGAGCATCTGGTAGATTTGAAACACGTGCCTTTGGGATCGCAGCACAGCTTCTTGCCATTAACTGCTACCAGAGTTCCCCCAAAGGCTGAACTCCTTAAAAGAAGGAAAATGCTATACAGAGAACGACAGAAAAGCAGAAAGGCCACTGTCAAAGGTGGAAACCTTGTAAGGCCTAGAAAAACAATGTGGGCTCCCTCAGATTTCACTGTAAGTGTTATGCTGGCCCCAAGGTCTAATTCATAGTGGATGGGCACTATTTTGACTTTTCATTCAAAACAGACCTCTAGGCTAAGCTGAGTAGAACCTTGATTCTCTCAAAGAGTCAGAGCATAGCCCGAGTCTGCCTGGCTCTGACAATGTCCCAAGAACTTCCAGGCTCCACCTCTTCTTGACACCACCTGGAGGCCTGACACCGGGAAGGGGTGACGATACCTGTTGTGCGATGCCGTCTGGTATCCGACTGCCAAGGCTTGTCTCAGGATGTCACTCACCAGCTGCTCTGTAGCCTGTGACAGAAGACATGGTCATTCCCCAGAAAAGCCACATGCAGGCAGGCAGGGCTGGATGGGACTCTAGCCCTTACCTCAGATGTGAAAAATTCCATCTAAGGATCAAAACGCCCTTGGGAAAAATGAAAGGGCTGAGTAACAGACCATCAGGAGAGACCATGGTTCCGAGAGCTCACACTCATGGTAATCATCACTGGGCAGATCCCCCAGGGAAAGCAGGCGGCTGTGAGGTGTCAGGACCGCGGGAGAGGAGCTTCTGAGCTAGGGCCTGACGGGTAGGGGAACTGGCCGTGCTGTCTCCTTGGTCACAGGGCAGCACGAGCCTGGCCGTCACTGTTGTTGTAAGATGTAGAGAAAACCTGAGGTCTTGCCTCTGCCTCCTCCCCAAAGCAAGAGAGCAGTCACCTCAGGACACTTTTTAAAAAGCACTGAAAGTGGCAGCAATTAAGAGTCTCTGTAGAGTTATATTAGCACAAAAACTCTAGTAGATGCTTCAACAGTCAAATGATCTGCTTCATTTAAAACCAGAAAGGGAGTGGGGGGAGAGACACCAAAGTCTAAAATGAGAAGCTTAAACACCTGCCACCTGCTCACCCTCTGCCCTGCCCCTCAGGGAAACCACCAGGTCTGTGTGGTGCTCGACGGGCCCCTGCCGCTGGCACTCACCCACCTTCAGAATCATGTCCTCGACCACCGAAGCATACACGTTCCTGTGGAGCGCCACGGGCTGGAGGGTGATCCCAATCTGGAAAAGGGCAGAGAAGCAGTTTTTCCCTCCTATTACTACACTGACAGTGTAGTGCAGATATGATTTGTTCCTATTACTACATTGTTCCTCTCTAAACAAGCACCGTTCAATCCCAGAGAGATGCCCAGCTGTTGGAAAGGCTGGGAGCTCTGGTGGCCTAGGGGAAAGAAGCTGCGCTGCTACTCCAGAGGCATGTGGTTTGAATCCACCAGCTGCTCCAAGGGAGAAGAATGCACAGTCTCCTTCTGTGTGACTTACTGCCTCTGAAAACCTGCTGGAGGGTCAGCTATGAGCTGGTTCTGACTCGATGGCACATAACAACGTAAGTATTCTGGACACGTTCACAGAGGAGTAAATAACACAGAACCTAACACAATGAGAGACTATTTTATCTTATTTTTTCATTTTCTGGTGGACTGCTAGAAATGCGATCATAATCCTGTTTGGTACCTCCACATCCCCTTCATAGGGGAATATGGTCAGGATCTGTCTTGAATTCTGAGAGTGGGATCAACCCTTTGGAAGCTTAAAATCAGATCCCAAGACCCCGTTTGCAAAAGGTGAAGAAGATGCACTTGTAAATGTCATCCTGCCCCACTTTTCATTTCTTCCTGTAAGTAAAAATGGTCTTTCACATTGAGTCCTGAAGCTGTGCATGCTAAGAAGCTGTTAAGTGTTATCAGGGCAAAGAAGCAACGCTTTGCTGTCAGACGACCGGGTGTGCGACTCGTACATACCACCGGGAGGGAGGGACCTTGGGAGCAGTGAGAATGTCAGGAAAAGGTTACCCTCTGACAGATAGCCTGGAAACATGACACGCCACACGAGAAAAAAGGAGATGGAAGTAAAAATATCATCTTGTCCAGCTGCCTGTGCTCCAACTCCAAGTGCAACAAGCACTTTTCACACGGAATTAATTCTCTTGCCCCAGGGCACTGACGCGGGAAGGTGGGTGTTCATGGAGCTGCTAGAATGTACCAGGCAGAAGTGAATCACACCTTTACCGACCAGAAAATCTGGTACCCAAGTTTCTAAGGCTGTCTCGCAATGTCTTGCCCCGACCTGCTGTGAACTGTCACCACCAGACTACAGGTTCCTACCTTCTGCACGACATCACCAATAAATTCAGACCCTGGGGTTGGAGGCAGGTAGAATTTCATTTCCTCCTGTTTTTCGTCCTGTTCTTTCTTGATGCTGATCTTCAATGGCTCTGAGAGGCTGAGAATATCTACCTCCTCCTCATTCTCTGGTTCTCTTTTCTGAAACTGCTGAAGGTCCTCTAATTTCCGGCAAAGGTTGTCAGCAGAGGAGAATGATGATGGGCACTCTAAATGAGAAGTAATCAGTCTTAGGACAGCTGGGGTGACAGAATCAATCTCCATAAAACCAACAGCCTGAGACTTGGAGAGGAAGGGAGCTGAGCGTCAAGGGAGCTGACCTTCTTTCCAGTTGTAAAATTGCATGAATCTGTAATTATGGGAACTAGTAATATAGGAGGGGGGAAAGCCAGATGTATGTGATATAACTGCAACCTGAGACAGGGCAGATGGGACATAATCCTGACTTCTGCTACCAAAATCTAGGCCATTCCTTTTCCTCTCCCTTTAGTAATCACTGAACAGCATTTCAAAGTACTATATAAAAGTAATCTTTCTGATTACAATGATCAGATTGTTGGGGGGAAAAAGATAAAACTGTTCATTCAAGAAAATCTGGGAAATTTAGAAATGGACAATGAATAAAGTAAAAATCACCCATAACCTCACCACTCAGAGTAAGTACTACTAACATTTCATGCAGACTGTACCCCACCTCTGATAAGCTAAGAGATAAAGCCCCAAAAGGTATCAGACTTAAAAGTCTGGGAGTCTCTAGCTGACCCCTCTCATTCACAAATGAGTAAGTCCATACATGTACATGATGGGTTATGGGCACCCAGCAATACCAGAACGGCCTGGCCCTTTCCTGTGTGACTGACTGTACTCCCACCAGTGAACCAGTCACAAGATCAGAATCTATACCAGTGAGACACAGAACTGACCAGTGAGTATGGTCTCTCTTCTCCAGAGAGCGAAGATGTAAGATGGTAGAACTGATCAGTATAATCTCTCTGTTCCATAGAGTTAAGATGTAAGGCAGCAGAAGAGCCAAACTGTCTAACTCTCTAGCAAGTGACATTAAGTACTCCAGGACATCAAAGGAGTGGCCACCCTGTCAGAGCTTAGAGGAGCACTTCAAGAGAAGGAGGAGCCTGGGCTGTCTTCTTAAAGGGCCCTCTCAGATGTGCTCCAGGTCACTCCTGGGAGGCGGAGTTTCTGTTTTTCCATAATAATTGAGATGGGTTAAAAAAAGCTTCCTTTACTATTTAAAGTAAAACTCAAAAAAAAGCTCTTTCTCCCCAAATATCCTCTATGCTCTGTCCCTACCCTAGCATCATAGAGCTGTTTTCGTCTCTATTACAAAACATTCAGTTCATTTACCTACAGTGATATTAGTTGTTTATATCTTAGGCTCTAACACTGGGTCACATACTGCTATGGAAAGATGCCAGAGGCAGAGACAAGACACAGATCCCATCATTACAGACCCATGCTAAGACTTGTGTCTGGAGGGTCTATAAGGTCATGAGGGAAGATGTCATTTCTTTCTGGAGAAGAGGTGGACTAGGAAAGCCTTCGGAGAGACGAGCCCTGAAGGAACACACGTGTGCTGTGTGGGATGGCGCAGGCAGGGGTGTGGCTGGCTGGGCACAATGTGAAGAAAACATGTAACCCTGAGGCAAACATTGTGTAGGAACTACACAGTGCACAGGGCCAGGGGAAGGCAGGAGGTGAGCAAAGCCTCCATCAAATCCTCAGGCTCTTTTTCCAGTTAAAGGAAAAGCATGGGAAACTGCTCACAGGAGCTGTGGACGCCCAAGTGATGTGAGTGCACTCCCAGAAAGTGCCGCCAGCTGTCCCAGGGCACGGAGAGGGCTCAGGAGGGTTACCTGGCTCGCTGTCGATCTGGGTCAGTACATCCTCGATAGTGTCACTCCGCAGGCTCTCAGGGTCAGGGGGCGTGTAGCCATGGCAACGACACCAGTGAGCAATGTGCTTGGTCTTCAGGGGCGTCAGATGGTGGAACCTTGAATTCTTCTCCAGTATTTCTTGTAAGACTTTCCGTATTGTCATTGCTCTTTGCCACTTAAAAAGATATTTTGGGGTTTTTAAAGAATTATAATCAAAGCTTTCAACTTAACAGCAGTATGTTAAAACAAATCATCTGTGGGGGTGGAGAAAATTGTGCAACAATGAAAGAATTTTTTTTCCCAAAGAGAAAAGTGAACTGAGGGGTGAGTAGGGAGAAAAATGTGCAACACGAATGAACAGAAATCCAAGTTACGCGCGCGCGCACACACACACACACACACACAAGAAATCCAAGTTCTCTATAAACTTCCATTAAAATCTCAATTAAAAGAAAAACTTTTTTAGAAACAACAAATCATCTTGCAAAAACTGTGCTAACATGTTAAGAGTGTTTTTTCCCCCTCAAGAAATAAGTCCTATTTTGGTAATTCTTAATTTTTTTCATTAAAATGATGTCTACTGGTTCTCTACTACTTATATAAAAAGGCTAGCTATTAAGTCCTTGAAGAATTTTTTAAGAGAGGGGAAAAATTGTCATGGTTTATTATTATTGTAGCTCTATCATTTCATATGCCAAGATTAAAGGAGGCAGCCCTGAAGGCTGACAAGTGTAAGGTCTGCAGGGCAAAGCCCCTGAGCACCTCCCCAGGAAAAGACTCAGGATTTGCTCCCAGTAAGACTGCAGAGCTGTGGGCCATTCTCCCTGTACATGAAGCTGCAGAAAGGAGAGACTGACTTGCCAGACCTTAGTATTAACAAGGGGGCAGCCACGTGCACAAGTGTTGCTCAGTCTTGTCAGCAGTGGCTCAGGTGTTGAATGAAGAGATATGGTTTACCTCAGCGGCCCTCCGTTTTCCAATGTTCCAACCATAGTACTGCTCCACAGACTTCGCAGAAAAACAGCCGGCATCTTCGCCTAGAATATACAGAGCCAGCAAACTCTGAGGAAGGTGTTATGATTCAAACCAAGTTTTATTAACTGGAGTTATATCTAGTTGTTTCTTCAGTCTTTACTGGATCTATGTTCCTTACTGGGAGAGTTTTATGCAGCATTAACAAAAGGGTTAATTAATGGGAAAGATAACCTACTGCCACGAAGCTACTTAAATAAGGAAATGGCACAGGAGCCAGGAGACCCGAAACCCAGTCCTGGCCTCGCCATGAACTCACGGAGTGACCTGTATCAACTCTCTGGGTGTCACTGTTCTTATCTTTAGAATATCAAAGTTAACTCCAAGATAGTCTCCAACATGCCTTCCAGGTCTAAGACTGTAGTTTTAAAAGTTTTTACAAGACTGAGGTTGGGTGGTTCGAGAACTTGTGGATGCTGAGGCAATATGAATGAATGTATACAAAAGAAAATGCCTTTCAATTGTCAATGAAATTCAGCAGTCTTTTTTATTTTTTTTTTTAAAAAAGCAGTCTATTTTAAACGACCTCAGAATGATGCTTTTGAATGTGGTTTTCTTGATTTTATAGGGTTTGTTTCGTGGAAGTTACAGGGTTGTTTGGCAGTTTCTGCTCCACCTCCTAGATGAGTGAGCTGTGCCTGGGATCTTAAAAGATTATATTCATTTGGACAACAGAGGGCTAAGAACTGGAGATGGAAATGGATTCAATGTCTCCTTTGCCACGGAGACCAGAACAACAGAAGAGGCCCAAACCCCATTACTGGACATCCTGATAAAGGGCCCTAGAGATAGAACTTGAACAGAAGGAGAAAACTCACACAAGAGAACTTAAAATTATTTTTTTTTAAATTTTTTTCTTCCAATTTTTATTTTATTATTTTTGTGTGAGTGTACCGTCAAATCAGATCTGACTGGTACAGGAGGAGATTGTCCCTCCTTCCCCGGCAGAGCATCTGGTAGATTCGAACCGTGCACCTCTGGGATTGTAGTTGCAGCTCCTTACCACTAGGCCACCAGAGCTCCCCCGAGAACTTAAAATTCATATGAAAACCAGGCTTACTGGATACACCGAGATTGGAGAACTAGCTACTATTGTCCTGAACCAAATATAAAAATATGGACCAAACTATGCAATTAATTCATCTTTAAATAGTTTAGCTCAGTTAATCATGAATATCTGCCTTATGCATTGGTCACTTTTAAAGAATTATCTGTGTGCTCACTCCAGCACAGAGACGAGAACCTCGGAAGGGGCAACGAGTGGAGGTTCACAGTGACAAGCCAATGCAGGTAGCTGCAGCGTAAGACATGGTGCATGTTCTACCAAACATATAATGTCCCCAAATATGATAATCCACTTGGGTCCTCCTGTCTACCTGTTCATGATGACGGGGCCACAGGCTGGACCTGGGTAACCTAGGATGACTGCCCAGCTCAGGAAGGGTAACCGGTTCAGTGAGAGCAGCAAATTATTCCTACAATGGATGGTGATGCTGCAGGGTTTACCTTTGGAGGTCTTAAAAAGCATGTATTTCTAAAAAGTGAATCACAAAGTACTGTAACTTTAGAGTAAAGCAGAACTGGGCTTGTCCACTGCCTCACCACCTACAGTTATGTGATCTTCAACTAGTTACTTAACCCTGCTTTCCCCTCTCCAAAATGGACTTACACAGTGACTGAGTAACATGGTAAATAAAAATGGACTTACACAGTGACTGAATAACAAGGTAACTATAATGAGTTCTGCACATTGTAAACAAATGAGAATGTCTTTCTGTATTAATAAGCACTGAAAAAATAATGCTGTTTCAATTACACATATACAACAGGATTATGTTTTATATACAAAAACCACAAAATAATTTTTTTCTGCTCAAATATAGTAAAAACAATAAAAAGACTAGTTGCCCAAGATTCTTTGAATTCTAAAGCCGCTGTAAATTAGCTATCTTATCTCTAGCTAAAATCCTGTGTAACTGTCATTTTAGGATCAAGTTACAATACAGCACCAAGTGACTGAAGTTGTACCAAAGTCACAAGTAGTTCACAGTTTATATCAATAAAGTCAATGTAACGCTTACTTTTTGCGGTGATTAATGGGATCTTCTTTACTATTGCTGTTAAGAGTTGCTGGATGGTTTCTAAATGGTCTATCCTGAGAAGGAGGTACAAAAATAAAATTAAAGCAGCAAATATATGTAGGCGCTTCTTGTCATATGCATGAATTTGTATGTGAGCACCTGTGTGTGTATATATATATTTAGGCACATGTCCCCTTTGGGGAATTTTAACTTTAACCAATTATATTGGCATGTCTTCCCTTCTTATCTTACTTTAAAAATTAAATAGAGTTCTAAGTTGAAAAACATCTATGAACTTGCAGAAATGATGAGAGTTCTAGAAAGGCTTCAGGTCTTTTGTTCACAGAGTCACTATGAGTTATGCTCAACTCTATGGCAATCAACAACAAGCAGCTTAAAAACGAGATTCAACAAACAGACGAGTCCGCGTTGTTGCAAGCCGTCAAGGTGGACTTGACCCATAGCTGACTTTCTAGTGGTCTTCAGCGGTAATAAATACTGCCTGGGAGGAGACTGCCAATCTTTCTCCTGCAGAGCAGCTGATGGAGTCAAACTACGAGACTTTAATATTGCAGCGCAGCTTCTTACCACTAGGCCACGCTGTAAGAGGCAAATCATAGAAAGATTACAAACATTTTAACCCGTATTTTTACACCTTTTGCAGAGAGAACACTATCTGAGCACGAAAAGTCCATCACACAAATCTATTTTGGGATATTGCAATTCATGCCTCCATCTATCACATTAGAGTGGCTCTGCTGCTACCGTTGCCAGCACTGGGTGAGAGGTAGTTGGCCAGAGGAGAGTTCTCTACTTGGAAACCAGAAGAACTCAGGAAGCATTTCTCAGAAGCAGTAATAGTGTGCATAGCCTGAGAGAAGGCAGGCACATGAATAATCAGTCAGAAAATATGTCCATACCTGAGTAAGTGTATCAAGAGACGTTGAACATGCAAGGATTGAACCAAGAGTGGACACTGGCCTTACACTCCACCCTGACTGACAGAGCTATCATCTCCTGAATCACACCTAAATATTTACACTGGAGACGCTCACCTGTGCCTCAGGGGGTGAAAGTTCTCTACTGTACAGGGACAGTCTCTACCCACCCAAGGGGCTTACCTCTACACACACAACTGTGCACATGTGTAGTCGTTCGTTACAGGTACTGTGCTTAAAAGGCATCATACAAAAAACAGAATTGTTTTAGAAAGAACGGAAATAATTACTTAATGACATAGTTTCCCAGCTCAGAACTTTCTTCTGTTTTCACTGCGGTCTGAGCCTCCTGAGAGAGGCAGCTTGGCCCAGGTGTTTCTGGTTCAGTCTTCACTACAAAAGATCAACAAAGAGAGTGCCATCAGGGTCCAGTGGAGGTCATGTGCAGGCAGAAAAAAAGCGCTCCCAGTGATGCCTGGGAAGGGAACGGCAGCCCTGGCTGCTGCGGAGACCCAGTCAGGAGGCGTGAGGGGTTGGCAGAGGGGCCTCAGCTAATGACAAGGCTGAGCCAATAAAAGGGCTTTGCAGAACTTTTGAAGAGTGTGAAAGAGCTCACGCATGCAAAACATCACCACTTTAAAATGCAAACCAGCCTGGTCTAAGTTTTATTTTTGACACCATCTTCTTCTTCAATTTTATCAGCATTCAGTAATTTTGAGTGCTATGGCGCAGGCAGGAAGCTGGATCCACCATTCCTGCAAACTGTCAAGCTAATGAATAGCTGTAACCAGATCAGCTGATGGAAGACAGCTCTTCCTACAATCTTTAAGAATAAAACCATGACCACATACTTCCAGCTTCAGTAGCCCCACTCTCCATACGCTCTTAATCACTTTACCCTTTAGCACCAGAACAATTTCCCTAAAAGACCTCCACAAGGCCAGTCCTTACCCAAATTCTTCAGCTGCTTCTTATGTGACAAAGTCTTCAAATGAGAATGGAGGTTGTTAGATGCCATCAAGTCAATTAGCCCACAGTAACGCCATCAACAGACTGAGACTGTGTCCCATGCTGTGCTACTATTAGACCCTGCCGGTGTTTAAACCCACAGCTGCGAACCCCTCTCCGTCTAGGTCTTGATCTCCTTAACTGTCTTTTCCAAGAATGATGTAACTGGAATGTAAAAAGTTGGACTAAAAGACGGAATGGACTTGGGCAAGGTGGCCTTGGTGATAAAAATGAAATTGGAGATCACATGATAAGAGCTGGAGACTACACAAGCGGCCCTCTCCTAAAATAGACAGGAATCAAATTGACTACAACTATCAGCAAATTCAAGGCTCAAGTTGCAATACTGAAGGATTCTGAAATATCAGAAGTAGTTAGAGGAAATAAGTACTAAGAATTAGGAGGCTAGTTGACACTGAAACATTTCAAAAGTAGCATACGATTAAGACCAATAATAATGAAAGAAATCCAAGTAACATTGCTTTGGCAAAAAATAAGGCCCTAGGAATGGCTAGAATAGCAATTGGGATGTTTCAATGAACACTGAAACATACCTCCCTGGATATGCTTACTGGTCTATGCCAAGAAATCTGGAAGACAGTTACAGGCCAATTTACTGGAAGAGATCCTTACTTGTTCCCGTTCACAAAACAAGGCAATCCAACGAAGGGCAGAAATTATTGAACAGTATCATTAATATAACATGCAAGTGAAATCTTGCTGAAGATTATTTTAAAATTGGTGAAAACAGAACATTGACATAGAATTGCTGGAAATTCAAGCTTGATTCACGAGGTGTAGAATGAAGAACAGCTTTGTTATGTCGATGGATCTTGGCTGGAAACAAAGAATGTCAGAAAAACATTTACTTGTGTTTTATCGACTGTGCAAAGGCATTCCACTGAGTGTATCACAATAAGTTACGGGTAACACTGAAAAACTGTACTCTTGGTGAACATGTACACAGACCAAGAAGCTCTGAAGGAACAAGGGACCCTGCATGGCTTAAAATCAGGGAAGGTTGTCAGGGCTGTATCATGTTTCCTTTCTCATTCAATCTGTATGCTGAGAAAATCTTTTGAGAAGCTGGGCTCTAAGAAGAGTGTAGCTTCAGGATTGAATGAATGAATGGAAATCCAAGTTTTCTGTAAATTTTCATTAAAATATCAATTAATATAACCTCCTAAAATAAAAATTAAAAAAAAATATTATCTGTTTAGCAACATACCAAGTATGCTTTCAATGCTTTGAAATTTACTAACACTTGCTTATGGCCAAGCAGGTCATTCTGGGAAGTAATTTATCCTTGACTTTTAAAATGTGTACTCTGAAGTTCTGGGGTTCTACAAATGGTATCAGGTTGGTTAGTCGTGTTGTTAATATTCTTTTTTCTTTTTTGAGGTGCTGACTCGACTCCATGGCACGTTAACAACTTTCCAGTCATTGCTGTGAAATCAGAATGGACCCACAGCTGACCTTCCAGGAGCACTTGTCTGCTGTAACTTGCTCAGGAGACGACTGCCCATCCCCTGTGGAGTGGCTGGAGAAGTCACACTCCTGAAGGTGCCACTTTTGGGTGAGTAGTTTAACGCTCTCTGGGCTACACTACCACAGCACCTCACCAGTTACTAAGGGCAAAGTGCTAAAACTGTCATCTATAAATGTATACTGGTCGACTTCGTGTTTCAGTCAACTTTTGCTTAATTGTTTTAAAGTAGTGTTAACAGATGCATATAAATTTAGAATTTTACCTTTGTATAGAATAGTATCGTCCTACAGAATGGAAAACCCTTTCTTCCCAATGGAATGTATCTTCTAAGTAATATTTGTCTTAAAATTACTTCATATGAAATTAATGCAGTGACGATTAACTTTCTTTTAATGCTTCACAGCATATTTCTTTCAGCTTGCTGCGTAAACCATAAAGCACCTATCTTTGTGAACATGTAGAGCCCTTTTCACCAGCATCTTCCTTCACCCAACTTAGCCTACTGATTTTTATTCCTTGCCCTATTTGTCTTTTAGTTGGATATTCTGACCATATACATCTAATGTTATTAATAAAAGTTTAATTGCCCTATTTCTATTTCGTTTCCTATTTGTCTTCTTCGTTCATTTCTCCATAGTTTTCTATTAGGCTTTAGGTTATACATGCCTGTGTTTTTTTCTCCAGTGGTTATCTTAGAGATTACTGACTCTGTTGTTGTTATGTGCCATCGAGTTGCTTGCGATTCATAGTGACCCTATCTACAACAGCCCTAACCTCTGCTCTGTCCTGTGCCAATCGCACTGTCTCTGACACTCCCATCCCAATTATCCCAGTCACTGAATCAGTCCACCTCATAGATGGCCTTCCCCTCTTGTGCTGTCCCTCCACCCTACCAAGCATGATGTCCCTCTCCAAGGACCTGTCCCTCCTTGCAACATGTCCAAAGTATGTCAGGCGGAGCCTTAGAATCCTTGCCTCCAAGGAGCAGCCCGGTTTGACCCTTTCCAGAATGAATCTGTTTGTTTTCCTAGCAGTCCATGGTACATTCAATACTCTTCAGCACCACAACTCAAAGGCATCAAATCTCCTTCTGTCCTCCTTAGTCACTGTCCAACTCTCTGGTGCATAACAAGTAATAGCAAAGACCATGGCCTGTATCAGACGCACCTTAGTTTCCAGAGAGACACCATTGCTCTTCAGTACTTTTGGAGACGTCCCAAAAAGCAGACTTTCCCAATGGCAATACATCTTTTAATTTCCTGGCTGCTGGTGCCGAGAGTGTTGACTGTGGAACCAAGCAAACTAAAGCTGTGAACAATCTCAATCTCTTCACCATCCATCCTGATGCTGCCAATTGGTCCAGTGGTGAGAATCTTTGTCTTCTTGATATTGAGCCTCAATCCATCTTGGAGGCTGCAGTCCTTGACCCTCTGCAGCAAGCACTTCAGGTCCTCCTCAGTTTCAGCAAGCAGGGTTGTCTCATCTGTATAACGCATATTGTTGATAGATCTTCCACCAATCTTGACTCCACATTTCTCCTCATAGAGCCCAGCCTCCCGGATAATCTGTACTGCATACAGGTTGAAAAGGTATGGAGATAGGATGCATCCCTGGCGTACGCCCTTCCCAATTTTGAACCATGCAGTGTTCCCTTGCTCTGCTCTGACGACTGCCTCTTGGTCCAAGTATAGGTTTTGCATTAGCACGATCAAGTGTTCTGGGATTCCCATTCTTCTCAGAGTCAGCCAGTTTGTTATGATCCACACAGTCAAACGCCTTTGCATAGTCAATGAAACACAGACAGACATTCCTCTGGTATTCTCTGCTAAGATCCATCTAACATTAGCTACAAAATCCCTAGTCCCACAACCCCTTCTAAACCCAGCCTGGACTTCTAGCAGTTCTCTGCTGATGTGCTGTTCCAGTCGTTTTTGGATAATCTTCAGTAGAATCTTGCTTGCATGTGAAATCAATGAGATTGTTCTGTAGTTTCCACACTCTGTTGGGTCACCTTTCTTTGGAATGGGAACAAATCTAGATCTCTTCCAGTCAGTTGGCCAAGTGGTTGGTCTCCAGATTTCTTGGCACAACTTGGTGAGCACATCCAGGGCAACATCTGTTATCTGAAATACTTCAATTGGTATACCATCTATTCCTGGGGACTTATTTTTTTTTTGCTGTTTCCTTCAAAGCAGCCTGAACTTCTTCTTTCATCACCATAGGCTCTTGCTCATATGTTGTTTTAGTGAAATTCTTCTATTTCTGCCAATTCTTTCAGATACGGTGACTCAGTATATTCTTTCCATCTTCTTTTAATACTTCCTGGATCATTTAATATTCTTCCTAAAGCATTCTTGATTATAGTAACTCGGTTTGAATTTGTTCTTCAGTTCCTTGAGCTTAAGAAATGCTGAGTGAGTTCTGCCCTTTTGATTTTCTGACTCCAGCTCCTTGCACATTTCATTGTAACATTTTACTTTTGTCATCTCATGCTGCCTTTTGAAATCTCCTATTCAACTCTTTAGTATCTTGAATTCTTCCCTGTGCTTTGGCCTCTCTGCGCTCCAGTGCAATTTTCAGAGTCTCTTCTGACATCCATTTTGGTCTTCTCTTCCTCTTCTGTCTTTGCAGTGACCGTATGCACTCTTCCTGGATGATACCCTTGATATCCTCCCACAACTCATCTGGTCTTCACTCATTAGGCCTCAAACCTGTTCCTGAGCTGGTTCAGAAATTGAGGTGGGATATACTCGAAGTCATATTTTGGTTCCCGTGGACTTGGTTTAATTTTCCTCAGCTTAAGCTTGAACCTGCATATGAGTAGTTGGTGGTCTGTTCCACAATCAGCTCCTGGCCTCGTTTTCACAGCTGATATTGAACTTCTCCAGCGGTTCTT